TGGCTAGAATATTGGCATCCTTCTCTAAGTCGTCTGGTAGAATCTGTGGCCGTTTGGGAGATCTTCCTCGATCAATGACCAAACCGATTCTTCACTGGGTATTCTCTGGAGTTCTCCTTCTCTCTAGATGGCGGATTGCAAGCGTGGGTGGGAACTGTTCCTGAGCCTAAAAGCTTCAATCATTAGCGAGAAAGAGGGTGCACACGGGTTCGACCAAGATGGAAGGGAAGCAGAATATTTAGGGGAGTTTCTGTCCAGAATTTAAGCCTTTATTTTCTGCCTATTTATACGTCCTGTTCAATTTCTGATTTCAGCTATGTGTCTTGTGTATATTCTGCCTACTTGAGATATATCCTGTAATGCCTGCACTGTTTATTATATTATTGTCAATGTTGATTTCTGATATATATATATATATATATATATATATATATATATGTGTGTGTGTGTGTGTGTGTGTGTGTAAATGCTAGGTTGTGACCTTGGTGACTGATGATATGAATTAAACTCTGTTGAATTCTGACTTCTGGGATTGATTATTTGATCTGTCATTGGTTAATGAGTAAAGAGAACTTGTTTATCCTATGCATTGTGTCTGCAATAGGCTATTTATTCCCAACAAGATTTAATCTCTCATTCTAAATCTAAACAATTCTCTCAAGTATGTAATGTATCCAACAATGATTTAATTGTTATGTTTTGTCTACCAAGAGCCTACACATTGAAGAGATTTATAGGAGCCAAATCTTGGAGATATAGATGAATTATAATACACAAAAGTTCCCTTATCTTGATGAGGCGTGAACCCAAAGTTCTTATCCCAATCAAACTTTCTATCCATAATGAAATTTGATTCTTTATCTATCCGGACTTCTAATCCAACATTATCTAGACTTCCTCCATGTATCAAACTTGCAAAAACATAGAATTATAGTTATAATCTAACAAATTTCACCTTGACACAAATTCCAAAATAAGGAATTAAATCACCGTTCTTCAAGTCATTCTCCAACTCTTTCACCATGCCCATTTCGAGCATACTCAATAACCGTGAATCAAACGTAAGTCATGCATACTAGCAGAACAACCTTAGGCCCAAGTCTTCCTTGAATTATCCAGTTCACTTCCAACTCCAGGTAAGCCCCCTAACATGCTCAAATCATCATGAGTAATGCCAACTCCACCTGAGTTGCCAAACCTACTCGAATCACCACGAGCCACACTAACTCCACTTAAGTTGCCAACCTGTTCGAATCATCATTAGCAACATGATCACCAAGATCACAACTAGCTCTACTCGAGCTAATTGAAGATTTTTCAATATTATTGTTCGAATCACCACGAACAATCCAATCACAGTCGAATTCATTTTGAATTTTGTGTTTTGAGTGTCTAATTAGAGATGGTTGTAAATGTGTTCTTTTTGACATTTTGAAAAATTGTTTTAAAAACACCCAAAACGCGTTTTGAAAATTTTGACTTATTATAACTGAAAACATAAAAAACGACAAATTTGTCGTTTTGAGTTTTCTTTGTAAATTTTTAACTTATTTTCAAAAATGCGTTTTTGAAAATAGAAAAGAAAACGCGTTTTCACTGTTTTGAAAAATTGAAAACAAAAAAGGGCTTGAAAATGGTAAAGAAAACAGGCTCTAAACATTTTGGAACAAGGCTAATGTCGACTCTGATCTTTCCTTTCCTTCTGAGATGCCTGTTCTCAGGAGTAAGAGCTCCAAGAACGTCATAGAGAATGGAAAAGGAAAGTGTTAGACTTCAAAAACTTCTAAAATGGTTGATTATTCTTCTCTTTGGATATAGGAATCAGTGATTGTTGCTGATTATTAGCTCTAAAATGGTTTTGATTTAGCCAAAAGGGTGGTTTTAAATTTCTGATTACTGATCAAATCCTTTTGTTACTTGGTTAATTTATTTCAAGTGTGCCATGAAACTTCCCTCTGACAATAATCCCACTATTATATAGGGGATTTCCACTTCAAGGGCAGTTCTTGCACTCTCGACTTCTTTAGGCAAATTGGCGTTTAATTCATCTTCAATGCTCCAATCTTTTGGAAGAAGGGTGTGTTGGCCTCCTTCTCAGTTTCACCATTTTTCAATGTGTGCTCAACAAGCTCTTGCCTGAGTTTTTGCATCAGTGGGTAGTTTGCGTTGCAGGGATCATCAATGTAACATATTCGCGATCAACCACATGATGCAAATCCTTCTCACAGAATCTTGATGGATGAAGCTCCCCATTAACACCCACTGTTAGAGTTTTCTTAGCAACTTGGCTAATTGTATTCTTAATAGCATCTCTCAAATTCTCCTCCAAGTGCCTCAAATCAATTGCTTGGCACAATGCAATTAGAAATGTGGATGACATAAGCTTCAAGATATCAACAGCCTCAGCTGTTTTTCTGCATCTGTGATTTTCTGCTTGATCTGATGAATATAATGGAGCAAAATGTTGTGGCTGAGGTTTGTAGTTTCCTACATTTTTAGGGTCATAATACTAATTTTCAATTACTTCTGTACTAATTTGTAAATTTATTTTTGAAGGAGGAGAGTCTAGAGGATCTTCAGAAAACATTTGTGGATTCGTTCGGGTGTCCCCGGGGCAGAACTGTGGTATGTGCAGTCTAACGTGATTGTTCAAGTGTGCAAATAACATACACATGAACGAAAGAGGAATTGGGATATATTGACAGCTAAAAATGCATGTGTTATTTTGATTACTGAGCAGATAAACTACCTTTGTGTTTAGAATAACCTCTGTTTGTAATCAACATCTTTTGTGTTGTAAAATGACTATATGTGTCACTTTTAGCAGGTGACTTTGTTTTACAATTGAAACGTAAATTTATTGATTAAAATAACTCATTATGGAACAGATTTTGAATTTCTTGATGTTATTTTCGTACTAACAAGAATGAAAAATCAATCAATGCATGTTGTCAACCAAATCTTCAATAAAGATTCTCGTTCTCCTCCCTTTCAAACATAAAGTAGCAGACTGTTACCTTGTCCTTCCCATTGTTCATAATATTGTCAACCTTGGCATTGGACCATAGTCTCTATAATGCTGCTGAGTTGGAGAATGCAAACACACACAGCAATACAGCTAGCAACACGACCAGCTCTGGATTGAGCTGGAACAACGTTTTGCCCAACAAAATGCACCTCGGATTTTCGAAATTAAGCAAGCCATAAGCATGCTGCTGCAGAATCAGGATACTGTGAGTATCTATTTTTCAAAACTCAAAACCCTTCTTGATGAGCTCTTGAATTATGAAACCATACCTAGTTGTAGTTGTAGAGGTTTAAGAACTGTGGTTCAAAATCAACAAAATAACTGGGTAATGAAATTTTTAAAGGGTTTGAAAGATTCATATAAGACAATTGAAAATTCTGTTAATTAAACCCTCCCCCAGTCTAAATGAAGTCTATTCTACATACAACAAGAGGAGAAAATGAGAGATATCAACCGAAGGACCTTCTCATGAATCTATGGCTTTTTTTTTACAAGAGGCAGTTTCAGAGAAAAGGGAAAACAAAATGCCTATGCTCAGAAAAAGGATCGATACTACTGCACTTTCTGTAAGATTACAAGGCATTCAACTGATAGATTTTCAAAGCAAATCCAAAAAAATCAACCTGCACCTATTGCTAGATTCCTGGTCACTCCGTGGACAAATGTTTCAAGCTTCATGGATATCCACTTGGTCATAAAATCAATGGGAAGTCCTCAGCAAATTATGCAATTGCATCTTTGCCTCAAGCACACGAGATTGAAAATAACAAATCACAGGTGTTCTTTTTCACGTATAATTGTAAAGAATAGCAAGCAACTCCCCCTTTTATTCTCTCTAGAATTCACTTACAAAGTTGAGTATGAGGTTCGATCGATCTTAGTTTCGACAAAAGGTACGCGATGGATTATTAATTTTATCTCTTGAAATATTTTTGAATGAATTAGATGAATAATTTGTAGAATATTTTTTCACTCCTCTTTTTGGGTTAGCCAAATAATAATTTTTGATTTAATCGGGATTAATTTAGCTTTCTTTGATTAATCAAAATAATACTATTTAAATTATCAACAAAATTTTGTGCTTTTGAGAGTAATAGGTTTTGGAAAATTAACTTGATTCAATTTTAAACATTTCTATCAAATAAAAAATAACCACAAGGAATTAGTTTT